TTACCTTATCTATTTCTTCAAGGGTATATACTGAAATCTTAGAACAAGATCTAGTAAGGCCTATAGCAGATCGACAATTATTACAACGCCTTGTTGCCTCTTCAACACCTTCTGCATCTAGCTTATCAAACTCATCTCCTAATTCACCTCCAGTCGAAATTGAAATCATGGCCACAGGAAATGAAATGAGAGCCATTTTTCAAGAAATTTTTGGGAATAATGGATAACACTTGACAGATATTAGCGAACGACTCTGACTAGCTCAAAGAGGAGAAAGATCTACTATTAAAGTTGATTATTTTTCAGGAGCAGAAAATGAAGATCCTGTAGAATGGCTCACTACATTCGAAAGAGCTGCTATTACCAACAGATGGACCACCGAAGCATGAAAGAAAGCCCTCGCTGGAGGACATCTTAAGGGTGCAGCAGCTGACTGGTTTGATAGTGTTACTACTGCTATGGGAGACCATTGGAATACCGGAACTAATGGTGGCCAAAACTTTGTAGATTTATTTGAAGCTCGTTTCATTAGTAAAACCAAGAAAAATCAATGGTATCAAGAGTTAACCTCTCTACATCAACAAACAGATGAGTCTGTAGATTCCTATGCTAATAAATTCAGGAAATTAGTGACTTGTGTAGGATTGACCGATGATGCGCAGAAGAAAAGGATGTTCCTCATGGGACTAAATCCTGCTTATACTCCGTTAGTCTATTCACAAAATCCAGCTGATTTGGATGCCACTGTAAATTCTACGAGAACTATTGAAATTGGATATAATTTCACCTCTGGAAAAGCACCCAAAGATATTAGTATTACCATAGCTTCTACTTTTAAAAACGTGGTTACTAATGCCGAAGTGGATGAACTCACTAAGAAACTGGAGCAATTATCTATCAATTATGCTAATCTGACGACTGCTTTATTGGCTCAACCTCAACAACCACCAAGGAGACGAACTGAGCGATCTTACAATGATACTAATAGAAGACCCAGACAAAACATGTCTTCTATGACTTGTTACAATTGTAACAGGGAAGGCCACATAGCTAGATATTGCCCTCAACCTCGCCAACAACTAAGAGGAACTGATAGAAGACCTCATTATGATAATACAAGAGACGTACATCTTGCTGACCAATATTATGAGGAAGAATATAATGATGAGGAATATACTTCAGAAGAATATTATGAAGAAGACGAATATAAAGTATATCTTGATACTAGGTCTAGACCTTACCCAAAGAATGCTGTGTCAAAAAATAAACAAAGACCAGTAAAGTTTCAAAACCTACCCAAAATAACTGTTGAAGACTTAGAAATGGAAAAACTAATAACAGAACCTGTGGTCGAACCAGTTAGAATTGAAAAAGTGTTAAAAACCCCTAAAAGAAGGTTGTTGCCTGCCCCTATTGAACTACTAACAGAATTTAATGTCTCAACCTATATGCAAAACCTACCATGCGGGTTATCTGTAGGACAAGCTACACATGCTATTCCTAAATACTATTCTGGTTTAGCTCGAGCTATTAGACGCTCAAGAGAAAGAGCCACTGATGAAACTAAGGAAGCTAATTTAGTAGAAAGTAATGATGAACCAACCTCAGCAGCAAAATGTACCTTGAGGATTGGACAAAAAGCTCAAACTGCAATTATTGATAGTGGAGCTGCTATCAGTATTATAACCAGAGTCCTAGTAGAAAAACTAGGATATAAAATTAATCGACCCTCAAAGATGATAGTAGTAATAGCGAATGGTGCAAGAACTCGTTCCCTTGGAATTATCGACAATGTACCAGTAAAGATTGGAAAAATTAATGTACCTACTTCCTTTCAAGTACTCGAATCTAAAGATAAAATCCTTATACTTGGAAACGATTGGCTCAGAGTAACTAATGCCACTATGAGTTGGGAACAATCCATTCTTACTATTAAACGAGATGGAATTACCATGAAAATTCCTATTACATTTACTAAAACAGCTAAAGTTGTGACTCAGGAAGCTGAGAATGAATATAAAAGTGAAGAATATGAAGATGAATATTTAGAAGAATATCCTATTTATTTATCTGACGATGTTGATTCAAAAGAATCAGAGTTGAACGATGAGTTGGGATTCAACCTATAGTCTCCTATTCAATCTGAAGAGGATACTGATGATAATGGAGAATTGGAAGAGCTAATAGAAGACAACCCAGCTGTCTATCTCACTGAAATTCCAGGATATACTGCTAAAACTGATCCAACGTATTTAGAGCAATTAGGACCACTGGATTATCATCAACAACAAACTTTTATGAATCTGCTAGGAGAATATTATGATATTTGCGCAAGAAGTCAAACAGATATAGGAAGAACAACAGAGATCAAGCATCGTATTTATACTGGAACAGCTATGCCAATTGCTCAAAAACCATATCGAACGAATCCTGAAAACACCAGATTCTTGAATTAAGAGCTAAAGAAAATGGAAGAAAATGGTATAATTCGACCCTCATATAGCCCATGGACCTCACCTGTAGTAATCGTAGGAAAGAAAGGAGGTGAAAAAAGATTATGTATCAATTATCGAAAAGTCAATACTGTCACAAAAATTGACGCGTATCCATTACCAAGAATTGATGACTTATTGGACTCATTAGGTGGAGCCAATTGGTTCACTACCCTCGACTTAGCTAGTGGTTATTGGCAAGTAGTCATGCATCCTGATGATATTGAGAAAACTGCTTTTATCACAGCAAATGGCTTGTATGAATTCCTAGTCATGCCCTTTGGATTAAATAATGCCTCCGGAACATTTCAGAGGCTTATGAACTGAGTTTTAAAAGACTTCCTTGGATTGTTTGTATCAGTTTACCTTGATGATGTAATCATCTATACAAAAGGACCCTTTGAATTACATGTTGACCACGTTAAACAAGTATTTCAAGCTTTTAG